ACTTGTCCCGGGCAATCGGACAACCGTTAATGTCGATCCCTGATATTATTATGCCACCACTTGCTGGTGGAGGCCTGCAAATATAGACCTGTACTTGACACTTATGGCCTTTGGGAAGTGAGGGATCTTTTTCGTGCCAGCACCTTCTGTGACACAGAACCTCGGTTCATACGGTTTCATCCGAGGAACCTATCTCCACATCCAGCTGTGGGATTTGAACCTGCGACGTAAGGATCAGCTTAAACTTAGAGTGGTATTTGGGTTATACAGTAAACACGCTTACTGCGAACAGACTTAAATAAGGAATTGAAGCATATATAGTGAAGTGATTTTCATTCCTTGTGGTTTTAAAACATACTGAAAACTAAACTGAAAAATGAATACATTTATAATGAATCAAAATTATTTTTCCCTGGCACTTATAAGCATGTTTTACTGTAATGACAAAATAATGGGGATTTGTTTTCACAGTGGCTGTATATTGTGAATAATTTAATAAGTCGATAGCAACTTTTCAGTTTTAAACTAATCTCATTCAAGCAGATGCTTGTCTGTCTCCGTAAACTCCAACGAGCAGGAGTTTATGGAGACAGTCGAGCATCTGCTTGAATGAGACTAGTTTTACACATGCTATCTACATGATCTAAGTGGGGGTCCTGTCCGCAAGTACCTGTGATTAATCCCTATTTATATTATATTTTGTAATTACATTCTCGAAATTGACTGCATGTAAACATCTATTTAATAGAGTACTTTTTACAAATAATACAAGGAAAATGTGACAGTATCTTTGAACTCTGTTTGATGGTTTCATTAGGGGTGTCAATGAATATTCGAGTACTCGACTATCATTCAATCATACTGACTATCGACTAAAATTTGTTAAGTCAGTTATTCGTTTAAAATTTGCTACTCTTAAATTCAATGTAAAAAAAATTGGATCTGCTCAGTTCATTTATTAACGTATCAGTGTTCAAACTCAGGGAAAGGCTTAACCAGTCTTTGTTAATTGTTCAAAGGAATTTTGTTGTTCGACAAACATGCATTGGCATACTTTAAAAGATGTCGGATCCAAATTGTAAAGTTTCAACCTGCATTTTCGTAAGATCTCAGATCTCATATAATGCAACTACCAATTAATGAAGAAGAATAAAACTTTATAAATACATGTAAATAGGGGAATGGTTATGAGCATAATTCAAAGGTGTTTCTTTCTGATATTAATATCAATCATTTTTAAATTGTATTGATTGAATGCAAAAAATCTCATAGTTAAAATTTTGTTTTTATAAGAGTTACACTTTAATTGTTTAACAATCACGGGTCACTGACAAGACACATTCAAATGGCTTCAGGTAAGAAATCAATAACGGGTACATGTACTAGCAGCAGGAAAAGAAAGGATAAATACGAGCATTTGATGTTCTGTATATAGATAAAATGTGCAGTCAGTGATTTTTTAGAGCCGACTTGGGGCCGAAATTCGGCCCCAGTCCCAATTGAAAATATGCCTGTATTTTCCCAAAATGTAATGGAAGTTTTCCCAAAGAAATACTTACAAAATATGTGATCAAATTTAGTTTGTTTATTGCATGTTTTTCAAGCAGGTTTTGTTGTTCAGGTGGCAGGGGATAGTTTCATACTAAAGACCCGGTCAAATTTCTTAAAGAATTGAGATATCCCGTTTGATGTGATATTTATGTAGAAAAATGATTAGAATAATTATGGGACACATTTGCAGTGTAGCAGAGTGCTTGCTGAAAAAAAATGATGTGCAATATGTAGGTGTCACTATGACGCTTATAGTCATGCAGAGTTGTAAATGCGAACCTAAGACACATGGTCAGTTGCAGAGGAAATTCACTGAAAAGCAGTAGGCCTTAGAGGAAGGTGTGTTTCTCAGAGGGAAGGTGAATGGCCCCATATCAATTGGTGAATTTTCATTAGGGCATGCATTGATTTACAGACTACTGGGTGTTTTATCCTGCTTGCTCGGGCCTGGGGGGTGGGTTGTATCTGAGGCCCAAATCTTGAAAAAAACAAGCCAAAGTTTGGGGAGACCCCAGGTGTATTTTTGGTACATGTGCACTCTACTAGGCAAATTACATGTAAATTGTTGACATAATTTGTGAGCCATGGGCATATGAAGTGTAATTAATTAGCCCCTGGAAAACTGTCCCCATGTACATGTTTTTATGGATCGCATGTATATGTGTACCCCCTCGGCACATGTTTGGCATTTAAAAAAACTATCCTCTGCCACCTTCAAGAAAACACCAATTTTCAGAAATATGTAATTTAGTCTAATTCTTCTCTAAATAAGTTTATTGATGTATGCCATTTTCAAAACTCACCATATTTCTTTTATTTGACTCTTATTCATTTAGATATAGAGACCTAAACACAAGGGGGGTAAACCTTTCCCAGTACACATTTTCAAAGAGTTTGAAGCATCAGCTTAACAAATCTTAACAGAGTAAGGCAATTTTTGTCTGAGAAAAATTTATTTGTTTGAAAATAATAGTTTGGGCACTGTCACATATATTTTATCAAATTTTGATGCAATATCACTTAGTATTAATTAAAATTAAAGGGGCTCAGTTATTGCGATATCACTGAAATTACAAATTATAAACTTACTCTTTTTTACATGTATTTTCACTAAATATCATTATTTTGAGAAAAGAATGAGTCAGTATGCAAAAATATCAGTTCACAGAACCACATTTATTCAAAGAATTGCTGTGCTTTAATTTTTTTTCAAATTAGACCCATCTTACTATTGATAATTACATAAAAAAAAATACCCCCCTCCCCTTCATTTTCCCCCTCATTTGTCTTCTATAATGTGATAGAACTTAAACTTTTCATTATTTTCATATAGATTATATATTTTTCTTTAAATTATAACAAAACAGATGGTCTTTTTGCATATTTAATGAACAAAATATCAGAAATATGTACATTGTTCATGTAATTATTGGATTCTACTAAACACCTGAAAGTTACTCACAAATGCCAAGTAAGGACAGGATGATCACTTTAATTATTCAGGGGAATCAAATGCATGTATTTGATCACTCAGATACATTGAAATTGAATGGAAATATACTCAGGAAAAGGACAGTCAGTAAAATCAGATTTCCACAGTATATGTGACGGTGCACATTTTAATGTTTTTGAAATATTTTCTATAGAATCAGGTAATGGTTGGAGGGGTAGGGTAGATAACTGCAACTTTCAGGACACTTCTTCTTGAACCTTTGATGCAAGAGGGGGTTTTGTATATTACAATAAATATCCTGAAAAATAGATTAGGTTTTCTTTTTGCAAACAAGCTATAGATGCATAAATTCAAGCAATTAAGAGATAAAATGGGATTTCTCAAAACATCAAAAATAGGAGAGTATGTGTTTCATGTGAGTACATTTCATGAAGGCATGCAATTCTTATTGAATTTTTTTATATGTAGCTGCATTTGAAATTGATCAAAGTTACCATTAAACACTGTTTTGATAAGAAATAGATTCTTTTGGATTGTAGGAGTTGGTCATTTTTGAAGTAACACAAAGAATATGGGGTTAAGGTAGTTGACCGACAATTGGTGGGGTCACTTATTTGCCTCTAACTTTTTTATTTTTCATTGAAATAAGACATATTTAGTATGTTTTTACTCAGAATTAATTGCACTTTCTAAATATGGAAAGTTATTTTAATTAAAAAGCAAACTTTGAAAGTTAAAGGTGGCAGGGGATAGTTTCGTACTAAAGACCCGGTCAAATTTCTTAAAAAATTGAGATATCCCCTGTTTGATGTGATATTTTATGTAGAAAAATGATTAGAATAATTATGGGACACATCTGCAGTGTAGCAAAGTGCTTGCTGAAAAAAATGATGTGCAACTTGTAGGTGTCACTATGATGCTTATCATATACGGAGTTGTAAATGCGAACCTAAGACACGTGGTCAGTAAAATGCAGAGGAAATTCAGCTGAAAAGCAGTAGGCCTTAGAAGAAGGTGTGTATCTCAGAGGGAAGATGAATGGCCCCATATCAATTGGTGAATTTTCATTAGGGCATGCATTGATTTACAGACTACTGGGTGTTTTATCCTGCTTGCTTCGGCCTGGGGATGGATTGTATGGGTGCGACTGAGGCCCAAATCTTGGAAAAACAACCAAAATTTGGGGAGACCCCAGGTGTATTTTTGGTACATGTGCACTCTACTAGGCAGATTACATGTAATTTGTTGACATAATTTGTGAGCCATTGGCATATGAAGTGCAATTAATTAGCCCCTGGAAAACTGTCCCCATGTACATGTTTTTATGGATCGCATGTATATGTGTACCCCCTCGGCACATGTTTGGCATTTAAAAAAACTATCCTCTGCCACCTCAGCCAAGTTGGATTTCTTCATAATTAGATAATTCATACCACTATTGTTCTTGATGCAAGTAATTAGATAATCCATACCAAGAATAGTCTTGATTAGTTATAACAATTGTTTGTTAAAGTAATACAAAGACAAAAACAAAGCTTTTTGACAATGCTTTTTAAGTGATTGGGCTTTCTGGGAGATTCTCAATTTAGCCTAATTGATGCTGAAATTCCCAATTCTGAGGGCCCCAGCCCCCAGTCCCAAAGTACTGAAAAAAAAAACACAGGCAGTAAATATTATATTTGAAATCAAATACATTTGATACATATATTTATTACTACGAAAATGTTAATGATTCAATAATTTGTTGTATAATGGTTATAACGTAGTTTAAATATTGTACAGGCTAGCAGTCTCTTAAAGACAAAAAGAAAATGACATGAAAAATTAATTTAAATTTCAACGAGTACTCGAATTTCATTTGACTAAAGCCTCTGACTGTGCGACTTAGCTGTCCAAGTAAAATTAACATCGCTATTTATCATTTATAAGTTGTACAGTTTTTTTTTATTTTAAATGAGAAATTTCAATTTCTTTTGGATAGGTGTGACTGCCATCTGATAACTGAAATTTGATACCAAGCATGACCATATTTGCCAGAAGAGCATCTGTTTGGAGATGACGAAGAATAAGCAGCATAGTGAAATTTAAACAGTCACACAAGGATAAAAGTCCTTCCATCTAGGATTATGGACACGTCAGGCCTTAATACATTAAGAACTTGTAATATATGTATTTTTACAAAAAAATTTTAGAGAGAACTGCTATTTTGGCATATACAACAACAAATGTTAACATATGTGCATATTTCAAATGACTTCAGTGCTAAGGGCATGTACTTGAATGAGGATTGTTAGAAAAGTTTGCAGACACATTGATTTAAGGAAAATTTACTGTGCACTTTGAAAAATGACCTGTCTGAAGGAATAATTTTTTAATAGCTCGGTGCTCTCCAAGACTTTCAATGACATTGCAATTCTCAACTTTGTGTTTTCGCATTGATCATCTATAATTAGCGATGAAACAGTCATAACCCCTCTAATTTAATTCAAAATTTTGCAACATGCCCTCTTTGAATATTGTAGCGACATGTAAAATATCATTAATTTTTTTGCACTACAACAGTGCAATTTTTTATTTCAAGAAATTGGTCCGATTTCAATATAGCTTTGATTACAAATAGACAACTCTAAGATACCTAATTCTTTTTATCTTTTTTAGCTCTTGTGAGCCAAAGGCTCAAAGAGCTAATGCTATGGCCATTTGTGCGGTGTATGTAAACTTTTTAGCTCACCTGAGCTGAAAGCTTAAGGTATGTCACTCGTCAGCCTTTTAGAAAATTTCAGTCAGAACCTCTTACTTAAAAACTATTAATTAAAATTAAATCTTCATAGCATATTTAAATTAAACAATGTAAAATGTTCAACATTCAATTAAAAAAACTGCTCAAAAATTCATAAAGAAGCAAGATTTATAAGGGACTATTTCTTGTGGTGGAAGGATATTTAGCAGAAAATTCTGCAAATCTACACATTTATTAAATTTAATATCTTGGAACTTTAGCCTCACATACTCTTACTCAGAGAATATTTTCCGTTATGATATGCCTAGAATATTAAATATAGGTCTCAATTTATATTTTTATAACAAAATTTACACCTTCGCTCAACAAACTTTGCCAAGAAATGAAGATATATTAAGGAAATCGAGATAAAATTTACACAGTTTTTTGCCAGAAAATCGCACATTTTGACCAATATTTCAAAATTTACATCACTGACCCCAACTTTTTCTTTCATTATTTTAAACTTCTCGATACTTTTGACCAATCAGCACTTAAGTCGTAAAAAGTTTGATACAAGAAAATATTCTATTGCCTATTTAGATTTTTAATACCCCAAATATGAAACTTTTTTAGTGCAAAAAGGTCACACAATAATTTATGCGCATTAATTTGCATGATTTGTTCAATGATAAATATTATTCAAACTGTTTTACGTAAAATAAGATTATGTTTATTGTCATGGTTACATCTGATAAAATATGATAACGGTTAAAGTGATTAACCAAAGAGTTACAATTTAAGTGCAAAAAGGTCAACTTAATTGTACCGTAGCTCAGTTAGATGCACACTGACCCCCCATTTTCTCTGCGATTTTGAGTCATACTATATGAGTACTTATCCAAAAGATACTTCTCAAAAAATCCTTGATACAACAAATTTCACGGGTGACATACCTTAAGTGAGCTTTTCTGATCACCAGTTGTCCGTCGTCTGTCCGTCTGTCTGTCTGTCTGTCTGTCTGTCCATCCATCTGTAAACTTTTCATATTTTCATCTTCTTCTCAAGAACCACTGAGCCAAATTTAACCAAAGTTGGTACACAGCATCCTTGGGTGAAGGGGAGTTTGTTAAAATGAAGGACCAACCCCCTTTACAAGGGGAGATAATCAGGAGAAGACAAAAATAGGGTGGGGTCATTAAAAAATCTTCTCAAGAACCACAGGGCCAGAAAAGCTGAAAGTTATGTGGAAGCATCCTGGGGTAGTGTAGATTCTAAATTCTTCAAATCATGGCCCCCAGGGGTAGGGTGGGGCCACAATAGGGAATCAAAGTTTTACATTGAAATATATAGGCAAAATCTTTAAAAATCTTCTTCTCAAGAACCACTGGGCCAGAAAAGCTGAAACTTATGTGGAAGCATCCTGGGGTAGTGTAGATTCTAAATTCTTCAAATCATGGCCCCCGGGGGTAAGGCGGGGCAATAATAGGGAATCAAAGTTTAAGATATATAGGCAAAATCTTCAAAAATCTTCTTCTCAAGAACCACTGGGCCAGAAAAACTGAAACATATGTGGAATCATCCTGGGGTAGTGTAGATTCTAATTTTTCAAATCATGGCCCCCGGGGGTAGGGTGGGGCCGCAATAAGTATTACAAGGGAGGGAGGGTCTGGTGAAGAACAGCAGGGCCAAAATAACTCAGGTGAGCGTTGTGGCCCATGGGCCTCTTGTTAGAATATGGGCCATAACGCAAGAACCCCTTGGCCAATTATTGTCAAATTTGTCACAGTGTATCCATGGCCCAAGGGCTCCCGTTTATAGTAAACTTAGGGTTGTGACCCTTAAACAAGGGGAGATAATTAGGTAAATAAAACCAAAAGTACTGGTTGCTAAAAAATCGTCTTCTAAAGAACCACTGGGCAGAATATCACCAAACTTTCACAAAAGGATGAGGATATATTGTAGATTAAAATTTGCACAGGGAATCGCTCTGAGACAAAGGGCTTGGTCTCAAGGTCACTTCAAAGTTGACCAAAAATTACATTTATTAAAATGTTGATGTTTTGCTTACTATAAGGACTAGGATCATCAAATCTTGTCAGTTGATGCATCTAAGGACCTTGTATCATGTTGACTCAAAAGTAGTTCATGGTTACCTACTTTTTAAATTTTGCAGCCATTCTTTTTCAAAATGATTTAGAGGCATATTTTGAACAGTTTCAGGCCTATTATCATCAAATTTTTTCAGTTGACAAATGACAGAATGAGACCACTATTCTTTAAATTTGCTTGTTGTGTCTTAGGCTCATAATTCACATTATATCTACTGCAATCAACTTCAATGTATTCAAATATTTTTAATGAATTCTTATTAAAAAAATTTACTTGAATATAAGTGTAATATACATGTACATGTAAAAGATTATTTTAACATGTTACAAAAATTTAAATATATGTGTCTTTTTCCCCCCTTGTAAAACATTTGAATAAATGAACCCAAGAAGTACAGTAAAACCATTTTTTCTCAATTTCAACTGGACCAAGATTAAACATCAAGATATCCAATGACTCCAGATAACCATGCAGGGTAAAAAACTTAAAGAATAAGGGGTTGGGAGTACCAACTCACTTCACCAAATAAATGGTACATGTATTTAGATATCGGTTTTTAGCTCACCTGAGCCAAAGGCTCAAGTGAGCTTTTCTGATGAAAATTTGTCCGTTGTCTGTCGTCGTTGTTGTTGTAAACTTTTCACATTTTCATCTTCTTCTCAAAAACCACTGGGCCAATTTCAACCAAACTTGCCACAAAGTATCCTTGGGTAAAGGGATTCAAGTTTGTTCAAATGAAGGGCCACGCCTTCTTCCAAGGGGAGATAATTAAAAATTCGTGAAAAATTAATGGCATCATTAAAAAATCTTCTTCTCAAGAACCACTGTGCTTGAAAATATGAAACTTATGTGGAAGCATCCTCAGGTAGTGTAGATTCAAGTTTGTTCAAATCATGACCCCTGGGGGTCGGGTGGGGCCACAATGGGTGATCAAAGTTTTACATAGGAATATATAGGAAAAATCTTTAAAAATCTTCTTCTCAAGAACAGCAAAGCCATGATTGGTCATATTTATATGGTAGCACCCTCAGATAGTGTTGATTCAAGTTTGTTCAAATCATGACCCCCAGGGGTCGGGTGGGGCCACAATTGGCGATCAAAGTTTTACATAGGAATATATTGGAATAATCTTTAAAAATCTTCTTCTCAAGAACAGCAAAGCCATGATTGGTCATATTTATATGGTAGCATCCTCAGATAGTGTAGATTCAAGTTTGTTCAAATCATGACCCCCGGGGGTCGGGTGGGGCCACAATGGGCGATCAAAGTTTTACATAGGAATATATAGGAAAAATTTATAAAAATCTTCTTCTCAAGAACAGCAAAGCCATGATTGGTCATATTTACATGGAAGCATCCTCAGATAGTGTTGATTCAAGTTTTTTCAAATCATGACCCCCAGGAGTCGGGTGGGGCCACAATGGGCGATCAAAGTTTTACATAGGAATATAAAGGAAAAATCTTTAAAAAATCTTCTTCTCAAGAATAACAAAGCCATGATTGGTCATATTTATTTGGTAGCATCCTCAGTGTAGATTCAAATTTGTTTAAATCATGACCCCCGGGGTCGGATGGGGCCACAATGGGCGATCAAAGTTTTAAATAGGAATATATAGGAAAAATCTTTAAAAATCTTCTTCTCAAGAACAGCAAAGCCATGATTGGTCATATTTACATGGAAGCATCCTCAGGTAGTGTAGATTCAAGTTTGTTCAAATCATGACCCCCGGGTTTGTTTAAACTTTTCAACCTTTCAAGACTGATCTGATTTCTGCTTTTTCCTAGCCATAGTGCTCAGGTGAGCGATGTGGCCCCTGGGCCTCTTGTTGAGATAATGAAGTTTAACTTTTAAGTTAAAGGCTAAAAAAGATGTTAGGTTAAAATTTTCCACAAGTGACACCATGTCTTACTGAAATCATCCCTGTGCATTTCTTGTAAGAGTATTTTTCTACTTACTGATTGTCAAACAATGGATATCCTCAATCAGTAACACATTGGGATTACTTACTATGTAGTTATGCTGTGTAAATGTTTTGTCAAGCAATTATTATGACGGTGATGTAGCAAAACACTGATGATTCTGTAGTATGACACGTGGTACTAACATGATTGCATCAAAGATGTTAGATGAATAGAAAAGTCTAGAAATTAAAAATCAAAAGTCAAAGTTCAAGAAATGAGGGTTTGGGAGTATTAGTGTTTTGGATACAATTTCAGGAGTACTGTTGGAGAGAGTACAGTTGAATTATATATCCTCATGCTCACTCCAGATTCAGAGTTCCGGAGATGAGGTCTTGATATTTGGGTCAAAGAAGAAAGAGAATGTTAGCAAAGTTGACAATATAAACAGAAACATGTAACCTTTAGGTGGAAATTAAACAAATATTTATCCTTTTATTACGACGTCAACTTACAAGCTTAGAAGGAAGACCCACTCGTTGCTTTGCAACGAGCTTTGCTCTAGTTATTATTATTATTATTCTTACCGATTTTGTGCACGCAAGTTCTCAGTAACGTCTTGGCCGATTTTCATGAAACTTTCAGATCTGATAGGTATTCATCTGAACCTTATTGGAAATTTTTTTCGTTTATGACCTCACTTTCCATCTCGAGATATTTAGGATTTTCTGATTTTCAGAGGGTCGGCTTGTCCTGGAAACTCCTCCGAAACGACTTAAGATATTGAGTCAAGATTTTCAGTGAAGGTAGGGAAAGGATTGTAGATTTGCAGGCAGGTGTCCAAATCTCGATAGCACAAATGGCGTCGAAGCTCGGTAGGGCTCAAAAAATGTCTCAGAAACATCTCACAAAATTTTACACCTTTTCTTTCATATCTTCATACTTGTTAAGAATTTGTTATAACATATAGAAGAAAAGTTGTGCAGAATGATACGATCTTTCATTTGATATCAGGAAAAAGGGGCTGACCCCTCAAATTAGGGGCTGAAAGGGGCCAAAAGTCTTTCATCTATAACTCTTTAACGATCAATAATTCGTAATACATTACTGAAGCAAAGATGCTTATCTTAACGATTTACAACAATATATTATATAATTGAGATCATAGGTTACGTAATAAGGGGTCACAAGGGGCCAGAATGCTGAATCTTTGACGCTTTATATCTCGAAAAGGGGGAATATTTTGAAAAGCAATACTGAACAAAAGATGGTCAGAATAATGTTCTAAACAATATGCACCCTCTCAATTTTTGTCAAACGGCCCCACTTAGGACTTGGAGGGGTGGCCCCTAAATATTTCCATTCAGCATATCTCCACAACAAAAAGAAATCTCTGAATAGTTGTTGAACAAAAAGTCTTCAAAATCACAAGACCTTTCAATTGATATCAAGAAAAAGGGGCTGACCCCTCAAATTAGGGGCTCAGAGGGGCCAAAAGTCTTCAACCTATAACTCTTTAACGATCAATAATTCGTGATACATTACTGAAGCAAAGATGCTTATCTTAACGATTTACAACAATGTATGATAAGATTCTGATCATATGTTACGTAATAAGGGGTCACAAGGGGCCAGAATGCTGAATGTTCGACGCTTTATATCTCGAAAAGGGGGAATATTTTGATAAGCAATACTGAACAAAAGATGGTCAGAATAATGTTCTAAACAATATGCACCCTTTCAATTTTTGTCAAACGGCCCCATTCAGGACTTGGAGGGGTGGCCCCTAAATGTTTCCATGCGGCATATCTCCACAACGAAAAGAAATCTCTGAATAGTTGTTGAACAAAAAGTCTTCAAAATCACAAGACCTTTCAATTGATATCAAGAAAAAGGGGCTGACCCCTCAAATTAGGGGCTCAGAGGGGCCAAAAGTCTTTCATCTATAACTCTTTAATGATCAATAATTCGTGATACATTACTGAAGCAAAGATGCTTATCTTAACGATTTACAACAATGTATGATAAGATTCTGATCATATGTTACGTAATAAGGGGTCACAAAGGGCCAGAATGCTGAATCTATGACGCTTTATATCTCGAAAAGGGGAAATATTTTGATAACAATACTGAACAAAAGATGGTCAGAATAATGTTCTAAACAATATGCATCCTTTCAATTTTTGTCAAATGGCCCCATTCAGGACTTGGAGGGGTGGCCCCTAAATATTTCCATACAGCATGTCTCCACAACGAAAAGAAATCTCTGAATAGTTGTTGAACAAAAAGTCTTCAAAATCACAAGACCTTTCAATTGATATCAAGAAAAAGAGGCTGACCCCTCAAATTAGGGGCTCAGAGGGGCCAAAACTCTTTCATCTTTAACTCTTTAACGATCACTAATTTGTAGTACATTACTGAAGCAAAGATGCTTATCTTAACGATTTACAACAATTTATGATAAGATACTGATCATACGTTACGTAACAAGGGGTCAAAAGGGGCCAGAATGCTGAATCTTTGACGCTTTATATCTCTTAAAGGGGGAATATTTTGATAAGCAATACAGACCAAAGATAGTCAGAATTATGTTCTTAACAATATGCACCTTTTCAATTTTTGTCAAACGGCCCCAATAAGGACTTGGAGGGCCAGCCCCAATAATATTTCAATTCAGCATATCTCCACCACGAAAAGAAATATCTGAATAATTGTTGAACAAAAATTCTTCAAAATCACAAGACCTTTTATTTGATATGAAGAAAAAGGGGCTGACTCCTCAAATTAGGGGCCCAGAGGGGCCAAAAGTCTTTCATCTATAACTCTTTAACGATCAATAATTTGTAATACATTACTGAAGCAAACATGCTTATCTTAACGATTTACAACAATATATGATAAGATTCTGATCATATGTTACGCATAAGGGGTCACAAGGGGCCAGAATGCTACATCTTTGACGCTTTATATCTCGAAAAGGTGGAATATTTTGATAAGCAATATTAAACAAAAGATGGTCAGAATAATGTTCTAAACAATATGCATCCTTTCAATTTTTGTCAAACGGCCCCATTTAGGACTTTTAGGGATGGCCCTTAAATATTTCCATTCAGCATATCTCCTCAACGAAAAGAAATCTCTGAATAGTTGTTGAACAAAAAGTCTTCAAAATCACAAGACCTTTCATTTGATATCAAGAAAAAGGGGCTGACCCCTCAAATTAGGGGCTGTGAGGGGCCAGAAGCCTGTCATCGATAGCTCTTTGATAATTTTATATAAATCAAAAGAATGACATCTACTTAGGGAAGTCTATATATTATTATCTTTTAACAAAGATCATAGTCAAAATCATATCTCATCTTATCGAAAAATCGGACGGAAGACCTACTCGTTGCTCGCAACGAGATCTCATCTAGTTATTATTATTATCGATTTTGTGCACGCAAGTTCTCAGTAACGTCTAAGCCGATTTTCATGAAACTTTCAGATCTGATAGGTATTGATCTGAACCTTATTGGAAATTTTTTTCGTTGATGACCTCACTTTCCATCTCGAGATATTTAGGATTTTCTGATTTTCAGAGGGTCGGCTTGTCCTGGAAACTCCTCCGAAACGACTTAAGATATTGAGTCAAGATTTTCAGTGAAGGTAGGGGAAGGATTGTAGATTTGCAGGCAGGTGTCCAAATCTCGATACCGCAAATGGCGCCAAAGCTCGGTAGGGCTCAAAAAATGTCTCAGAAACATCTCACAAAATTTTACACCTTTTCTTTCATATCTTCATACTTGTTAAGAATTTGTTATAACATATAGAAGAAAAGTTGTGCAGAATGATACGACCTTTCATTTGATATCAAGAAAAAGGGGCTGACCCCTCAAATTAGGGGCTCAGAGGGGCCAAAAGTCTTTCATCTATAACTCTTTAACGATCAATAATTCGTAATACATTACTGAAGCAAAGATGTTTATCTTAATGATTTACAACAATATATTATATAATTGAGATCATAGGTTACGTAATAAGGGGTCACAAGGGGCCAGAATGCTGAATCTTTGACGCTTTATATCTCGAAAAGGGGGAATATTTTGATAAGCAATACTGAACAAAAGATGGTCAGAATAATGTTCTAAACAATATGCACCCTCTCAATTTTTGTCAAACGGCCCCATTCAGGACTTGGAGGGGTGGCCCCTAAATATTTCCATTCGGCATATCTCCACAACGAAAAGAAATCTCTGAATAGTTGTTGAACAAAAAGTCTTCAAAATCACAAGAGCTTTCAATTGATATCAAGAAAAAGGGGCTGACCCCTCAAATTAGGGGCTCAGAGGGGCCAAAAGTTTTCAACCTATAACTCTTTAACGATCAATAATTTGTAATACATTACTGAAACAAAGATGTTTATCTTAACGATTTACAACAATGTATGATAAAATTCTGATCATATGTTACGTAATAAGGGGTCACAAGGGGCCAGAATGCTGAGTCTTCGACGCTTTATATCTCGAAAAGGGGGAATATTTCGATAAGCAATACTGAACAAAAGATGGTCAGAATAATGTTCTAAACAATATGCACCCTCTCAATTTTTGTCAAACGGCCCCATTAAGGACTTGGAGGGGTGGTCCCTAAATATTTTCATTCGGCATATCTCCACAACGAAAAGAAATCTCTGAATAGTTGTTGAACAAAAAGTCTTCAAAATCACAAGACCTTTCAATTGATATCAAGAAAAAGGGGCTGACCCCTCAAATTAGGGGCTCAGAGGGGCCAAAAGTTTTTCATCTATAACTCTTTAACGATCAATAATTCGTAATACATTACTGAAGCAAAGATGCTTATCTTAACGATTTACAACAATGTATGATAAGATTCTGATCATATGTTACGTAATAAGGGGTCACAAGGGGCCAGAATGCTGAATCTTTGACGCTTTATATCTCGAAAAGGGGGAATATTTCGATAAGCAATACTGAACAAAAGATGGTCAGAATAATGTTCTAAACAATATGCACCCTCTCAATTTTTGTCAAACGGCCCCATTCAGGACTTGGAGGGGTGGCCCCTAAATATTTCCATTCGGCATATCTCCACAACGAAAAGAAATCTCTGAATAGTTGTTGAACAAAAAGTCTTCAAAATCACAAGACTTTTCATTTGATATCAAGAAAAAGGGGCTGACCCCTCAAATTAGGGGCTCAGAGGGGCCAAAAGTTTTCAACCTATAACTCTTTAACGATCAATAATTTGTAATACATTACTGAAGCAAATATGCTTATCTTAACGATTTACGACAATATATGATAAAATTCTGATCATATGTTACGTAATAAGGGGTCACAAGGGGCCAGAATGCTAAATCTTTGACGCTTTATATCTCGAAAAGGGGGAATATTTTGAAAAGCAATACTGAACAAAAGATGGTCAGAATAATGTTCTAAACAATATGCACCCTTTCAATTTCTGTCAAACGGCCCCATTAAGGACTTGGAGAGGTGGCCCCTAAATATTTCCATTCAGCATATTTCCACAACGGAAAGAAATCTCTGAATAGTTGTTGAACAAAACGTTTTCAAAATCACAAGACCTTTCAATTGATATCAAGAAAAAGGGCCTGCCCCTCAAACTAGGGGTTCAGAGGGGCCAAAAGCAATTCATCGATAGCTCTTTGATAATGTATATAAAATTAAAGGATTGAAATCTAATTAGGGAAGTCTATATATATTATTTTCTTTTAACAAAGATCATAGTCAAAATCATATCTCATCTTATCGAAAAATCGGACGGAAGACCTACTCGTTGCTCGCAACGAGATCTCATCTAGTTTTCTTTCCAATTATAATGTCCGATCCAGTGCAGAATCGTAAAAGCAAGGTCAGTTTCTCAGTTGAACACGTCTTGATGTACCGCTTAAGAGAATCGGCCGTTGCTTTCTCGGCTTTTGTCAGATCTTCTGGAAAAACAAACAAATTCAGGACTTTTTTGTTGGTAACTTTGCTTTGCTCATATATTTCTTCCAGTCTACCTATCAGAGGCTTCAAATGACTACTAAATATTGGAAACCAACAAAGTGTGACAAAAGACGGTTTTTGAATTAGTTCATGATGAGCCAACTCAATCAAAAGCTTTCTAAAATTTTCCTTAGTAGGATAGACTCTCAGATTAAAATTCGATAAAGCATCGAGAAGTTCATTTTCCTCCACACCATTAAAATCATCAAGAGCATCTTTAATAAGTCCTCTGTCCATATCAGGCAAAAATGCCATGAATGACTCAAGTAGCTCCTCATTTGTTGGGGTAATATCAAAAATACATTTTTTCAGAAAGATTTGTGAAAGCTGTATTGGAAAATACTTTTCTTGCTTGAAGGACAACACTAGAACTTTGGCTACGGCTTCCCATTCCTCCTGCTTCATGATGTGCACTGTAGTAGGAATTTTAACATCACTTCCTTCAGTGTGTTTTAAATAAAAAGTATCCCAAAATTCCGACATGGCATCCCGAAAAACACCCCCGGAATCCTCCCCCTTCTCTGTCAATATTGAAAGTTGTAGTGTGTCAGTTCTTAAGTTGAACTCTTGCTTTACAAAAAACTTCATGACGTCAGAGAAAGCATTACCCCTCTTTATAACAAGATTTTTGACAACTGCACTTGCTGGTAATGTTTCATCGAGGTCGTTTCTTAATAACTGCGAGGGCCCAAATTCTATCTCTGGGTCGTAAATATAGTTTTGAAAATCCAGTAATATACTCCCAGCAGGAACATTCTCAAAAGTGACAATCTCTCCAGGAAGCACGTTTACGGGTGACTGTGCAGACTTTAATGTAGCAGGTGGAAAATCCCCTTCAGAGATGTGATCTGGAATGTTTAAATGACTTGCATCATCTGGGGAACTAGCTGTTCCGGGTGCCCCTTCTTTTTCAATATGGACAAGAGAAAGCATTGGATCTGGAAGATCCTCGCCAGATGAATATCTGTCATTTATTGTGGATTCGCCATCATGATGTTTCTTTGATGTTATAAGATAGAGACGAAGAGTTGACATTTTAGATGCTATATATAAATCATTAATAGATTTATCTGCAATATCTTCTTGAGAAAAATCAACTACTGAAAAATGAAAATCTTCCTTTTTCCCCACAGATGATTTTCCCTGGGGAAAGAACAGAGGCTTGACTTCTTCCAAAATTTCGTCTTTCTTATAGAATTTTGGGAGGTCCAGCTTTCTTGCCCCACCACCTCTGGGAGTTCTCACTTGCTTTCCCCCATGAATCCAGCCAACTTCCACTTTTCGCATGTTTTTATTTGCACTCTTATTCCCAACTCTAGCCATATGAGTCTTCTGTTTCTTTGCCTTTGAAGTAGTTGGGCCTTCATCACTGGAGCTGCTACTCAGAGATTCTTTTCCTCGTACACCCATTTTTTGACGCAGCGTTTGAAGAATGGATGATTTTGGTTTTTTCTTTTTGTTTTTCATTTGTTCCAAAAATATCCTTAAATTGACGCGATCTCCTACTTTGGGTAAAAACTCTGTGATGTCTTTTTCGCTCATTTTTTGAAGGACGGAAAGAGTCACCTACAAAGCAAAATTATTTTATTGTATTTATTAATGTTTGACTAGAATAATAACAAGTATATGAGACTAAAACTTGCAAAGAACATGGGAATGTTCTCATACAATTATTGCCCGGTTGCTTATCTCGGATTTAAACCTTTGATCAATGATTTAGGAAAGTTGAATTTTCTCTCTTTCTCTGGTAGCCCCCCCCCCCTTTCAAAAATGATGCTACGTCCCTGGAATAATAGAATGATGACTTAGAAAGCTAATAAAGAGAATGTACAACGCGACAAGCGCGGATTCAGACAGGGGCTCACTACCGTCCTAGAGAGAGAACTGTCGATAAGTTTGAGACACACGTAAAATTATCTTCCCGAACACAATTCTTTTCGATCCTTACTTGAGTTGTCAATACATGTAAGTATATCATAAAACGACTACAGTCTTTGTTTACTGACGACTCAAAGGCGGATCCAGCGCCAGCGCGCCGGGTGTGCCCCTCCCCCCCCCCCCCCGTTTGAATTTTTTTGTTGTTGAAATTTTGTTTGTATTATCCTAAAATCAAGGGAAATAACACCCCCGGACCCCACCAGGGCTCTGCTCTGGACCCGCTGGCGGCTTCAATGCAACCCCCAGACCCCCTGCCTTCTACTGCGCCCCCACCCCCCATGATGAAACTCCTGGATCCGCCGCTGCGACTGATACACCGGAGGAAAAAAATTCAGAATATTCCAAATGTTATGTACTTTTTTGATAGTTTCAATTTCAAGTAGATAAACGTTCGGTTATCATCATTTACATCAAACCCTTGCCACTTTGTGCAAAATTTGTTTTCAAATATTAAGAACCATTTAATTTTAACAAATTATAATTTTGATACGAAATCTTATGTAACCTTACTATGATTGTGTAATTTTAATCAAAATCGAAGAAATTGTATCCGTTTTCTGTTGATTAAACGCGTGTTGACGACTCCATGGACTGAGAAACGAATCAACATTTAGGAAAATCATCACTGTAGGGGACAGAACCATGACAACGAAATAAATTAATGCTTTAGAGTCCAGAAATAGGCGCTGAAGTGGGTGGGGGTATTTTTTTCGAAGATGAGAGCTTTCGTCCCTTGTAGAGTTTATGTATATAGGTATGGTATGTCTTTTTTAAACGATGTTTTTCTTGACCGAAACACAGGTACTTGTGGACAGGACCCCCCCCCCCCCCGCCGATATTCAACCCCTTGGCTTGTTGGACATTTTTTCACAAATTATATTTATTACACTTATTCATCATGTGTACCATAGGAAAAAGATCTCTCTTATAATGTATAATGAGGTATTTTTGTGTGGAACGATTATTTTGGGGTTTTCACGATTTTTTCCTATGGTACACATGATGAATAAGTGTAATAAATATAATTTGTGAAAAAATGTCCAACAAGCCCCGGGGTTGAATATCGGGGGGGGGGGGGGGGGGTTCCTGTCCACAAGTACCTGTGGACCGAAAGTGTCAGAATCTTTATTTTAACAACTTTTAAGTGTATTTTAACAACTTTTAAGTGTATTTTAAGTAGATTCAAAATTTTATTAATTTATTTTACATTTAACAATCCGGAAGACAAGTCCCTATGGACAAATGGATCCCCCCCCCACCCCAGCTTCGGAGTATTTTTTTAGACACGATAATTTTTCCAAAATACACGAATTCCTAATCTACTATACCTTTATTTCGATTTCTGATATTTTCCGTTTTCGATTAGTTTCAGAGGTTGCCTCTAATGGGTATTTAAAATACTAGTATTTTTATAAACTCGTTGAGGGAAAACTTCTGAAACTAGAAATTATAAGCTATTACTATTTTTTATCACGGGGGGGGGGGGTGGGGGGGGTGTACCGATCCATATTTCAAGTGCCTGTGGTTTCACTGGATCATTGGCGACTTAGCAGTATAAAAATGCCCAAATAACCTCTTTGTGAATTAAGGGCGAATTTGTTTCTCAAAAACTGGTTTTAGTTTTGAACTAGCTTTGTAAACTGTTCATTTGTTCCACAAACTGGTTTTAAACTAGTTTAAACCCAGAACCGGTTTTCCATTTGTTTTTGCTGTAACTGAAACCAGTTCGTTAAACCAACCAAACCACCTCCGATGGTGGTTTATTCGGTTTACGAAAGAGCGGGAAGTATTCCAGTATGGCGGTGATGAAAGATGGTGACTATTTTAATAAAGAAAAAAGTTATAGATGATTGTTTTTTCGAGGACAAACAAATCTTTTTGACTTTAATGACACATTCTGATGTTTTATATAAAGCTTCAGAGAATAGATATATGCTGCATATTGTAATGGTGTTTGTTGAATGATAATTTTCAAAAATTAGTTCTGATTCATTTGAACAAACTTTAACATGTATGGTAAATTGTAGAACATACTATAAAAACAGTTTTAATGTTGGAAATCTAAAGAGTATAATTATAAATACCCAAGTTTTTATCTTTCCATGTGTTAAAAATGTAGAAATTGATCATTTGATGAATCTTTGAGGCATTATAAATGTAAATACTACATTTTTAAGTAAGATAAACAAGGAACAAAAAAAATACAATTTCTTGGATTCTTTTATTAAGAAAAAGATTTTAACTTTATTTGCATGTGTAATTTGGTTAATATGTTGTTCTAGCTCTTCATATTAAAGTTCCTACATTGTAAATGCACATGAAAAACGTCATAAAATTATTGCAATTCTATCTCTTTTTTTCATCAACAGCATTATTTCCGCGTTAAATTTCCAATTAACATGATTAATATTAATATAATTAATCACAGGGACTTGAGACAATCTTAGCAAAATCGGGTATATAGTATAATAGTATTAATATATAATAATATTATACTATATACCCAATTTTGCTAAGATTGTCTCAAGTCCCTGTGAAATTAATCATGCATGGATCTTTTAGACGCCATCTTGTATAAACTGTTCATTTGTTTTACCGAGGTAAACCGGATCGAAACTTATAACCAGTTTGAAAACTAGTTTTAAACCTTAAACCAAAACCTGAACTAGTTTAGGCGCAACAAATTCGCCCTTAAATGTATGTCAAACTAAACCTTTTTAACTATTGAGTACTAGAGATGTTTCTGAACCTGAAACGAATCCGAATCTGAAAATGAATCTGAAACAAATCTGAATCGGAGGGATCTCGATTCCGATTTCAAAACTGAAAAAGATATATATCATCATAAGAAAATTTCTTCACTTATTATACAATGAATAATAATAATATATATTCATTTTTGTGATTTATTTTTCAGTTTTACTATGACTAGGAATATATCGAATTTTAATTTGAAAATTGTTTGATTCTTCTCCTTCTGAATTTAACTAGTTCACAATTACTATTGCGAAGTACCATCGCCGGATACCCACGGGTGATCTCGTCTTTTCCTTATCACCCACTGATGAGTAAAAGATGAGATCACTCGTGAGCATCCGACGATGGTTAAATACAAGTACATGTATCTCTGTTTGATATGTCATTTAAAAAATAGTGAGTGATGTTATTATTTTGTCATTGGGATGGGGGTGTTATAAAAGGGACAAGTCAAATTCTGTAGACTGAAAAACAGAAACAGGTACCCTTTCAATTCACGGAAAAACCTGCTCGTAAAAGTATCATTGTTGTATTATTCACCTACTTACATTATTTGTTTCTCGCAAGAATCGTGTTCTGTACTCTTTTAAAAAAATATTCTGTGTAATTAATGTATTCATACGAGTCATTTTATATAGTTATATGCAATTGAAAATTATGTCGGATAAATAACCTTTAAGCAACCCCTTGGCCACATTCTCGCAGGCTAATTTTTTGTCGAAGGTTTTTGGCGATTTACATTGATGTCTACAAGTTTTTAGTTTAAACGTTTCCTGTCATTTCCTTGATTGACGAAGAATGTAGCTTGTTAAAATGAATAGTTAAAAGTGTAATTTGTCTCCTACATCTCAAAGAACACAATTCTCCCGAGGAACGAATATCTATAGTGAGTTGAACAATAAAATAATACAAACTGATAGCTTTCGTACGTATTAAAAAGACACTTATTACTACATGTAGTATGTAATATGGCTGATCTATAGGATACAGTAACATTACGGGAATGGGGCGCAATTGAACAAAAATCAAGTCTACAAGCTTTATTTATGAGGGACATAACAGTAATTTCGATAATTTTGATCTGATTATATTGTGCAGTATATAGCGGCAAAATTAATAGGAAGGGGGGAGGGGGCTGGTCTCCATGTCTCCCCCAGTTCTTACGGGCCCGATATTATGCAATTATTTTTTGACGACTTGAACTGAGATCGAGGCCGTTCAGTAGCGATCAAGTGGTGGAAGGTGTCAAAGTAATCCAGCTTCGCCCCCTATTTTTCAGAGTTAGTAAATTGTATGTAATATAGTTGAACAAAGATGAACTTGCCAGCCCCTCCCCCAACCCCCCTCCTTTGGGAAACACGGACGGACCGCTCGGCAGCTGGTCAAGGAGAATTACGCAAGCATGACAAGCCCCCACACACAGATTGTTTTTTTTTTCACGTCCGGAGAGAATTGGGATAAATTTTTTTGTCAAAAAATATCCGAGTCGGAGAAATGGTGATGATTTATCTCCTTGTGGGAATTTATTAGTATGTCCCCCTCCCCGCCCTGAGCAAATTTCCTGGTTCACCCTTGACATTTCAAACATACTTCCTAGCCCCAAGAAATATTAATCTAGCTTACTTCATTAACTCTTATTTTTCACATTGCTACAAGTAAGGTACATATATAACATCCATATACGATTTACATCATGGACTTTTTACTCCCAGGAT